GTTCACTGTCTGTCAGGTGGCAGTCACTGCTGCATGGGAAGGTGTTATACTTACTTCAGCACCGACACCAAAACACGTACTGCTGTTGATACAAAAGGCACAGGCACTGGGCAGCAGGGCTTCTTCCATCTGATGGTAGAGACTCAAGTAAATCTAGAAGATGTGATTTTGTATAAATATATTTATATTTTAATAAATATAAGTCAAACATTCTGAGTCTTACAAGGCGTCATTCGTTTAATTGAGAGTTTTCCTTTTGCAGTGGTACATAAAGTCATGATGTCTCTTAGAATCAGTGGGATCTTAGATTGGTGAACTGTGGTATTAATATTTGAATATAGGACTACCCTGTTGTTAGTTTTGCAGTATTGATTTTGTTTAGTTTTTGCTGTAATCAACTCTCAGAAATCTGAAAGGCAGTTTTCTTTTGATTGCTGGAACTTGCATTTCAGGGAGCGTGTGTAGACTTCATGTTTCAGATGCAGTGAGTAGATGTTCCAGAGACAAGGTGACTGACTGGTCCTGTAAAAGGTCAGACCCGGGTTCCGAGTCACCCGCAGTGCTGTGGACAGGCCCCACTCCCTACACAAGTGGCTACGCAGATGCACGTGGTAGACGACTTCAAACTCCATAGTCTCATCTAATTCCCTGGAGGCCAAGCCTGATATAGAGGGACTGGTGGTTCAGTCCTTGAACAGATCATGAGACCTAGACCTTAAGAGTCTTCAGCATGACCAGAAGGACTGATGGCTAGAGACCTCATCCCTCTTTCTCCCAAACTCTTTAAGTCCCAGATTTCTGTTACAATCCAAGATGGGAGGCAAGAACCATGAAGTGTGAGAGATTACAGATACCAGATTTCTTAACAACTTTGGTCAGTGACGACTCAGATTTATGTAACTTGATTTTTAAAAAGAAATGAATGTCATGTCTTGCCTACTGTGCCTCCACCCCCTGCAAAGAGAGAGCGAGCGTGAGAGGACTCTAGTCATAACAGCTCTTGACTGGCGGAGGATGTCTTCCAGGTGGACAGGATTCCCTTTCCCCCGGCTGTGGAACTCAGTTTCTTGTCAGTGGTTGACTGAAGACCACGCTCAGTTCTCTGCTCTGCAGAAGTCTCCACCATGGCAGCTGGTGGCCTCAGAGCCTTCGCGCTGGGGAGGCCACGGAGAGTCTGCTCACGAGATGGATGGCACGTGTTGTAGCCTAGTCATAGAGGTGACCTCATCTTCGGTGTCATGATGCTGGACTTAGGCGGTCACTAGGTTTAGCCCATGTTTATCCTTGTTAACTGCAGTGGAGTTAGACCAAAAACTGCCATCCAGCCGGTGCTGACTCATAGTAGTGACCTTCATTAGCAGACCTGAAAGAACTCTGTAGCATGGCCTGATAAACTTGACCCTGAGCATTTCTCACTGGCATTACTACTTGGTAACTCTCTTAAAATAAACTCCTCTTTAAACATGGGTTTTGTCTGGAAGTCTTGGGTTGCCATTGCAGTAGCTATTAGAACCCAGAGAGGTAAAACAGAAAACACTAATTAAGACATCATGCCTTCTAAATACAAAATCAAGACTATCTCATATTTATCCCTATCGATTGATTAGTTGGCTAGCACCTTGACTTATCCCATTTGTTGGTTTGTTTTTCTTTTTAAAATTGGTGTGGAAATCTATACAGTAAAATATCCATACTGGATTTGGACCAGTTAGCCCACATCTATTGGTGCTTGTCACACGAGCAATTCCTCAGTACCTCCTGAATGACATACTCACGCTGCAGCAGCGTAACAGGAAGGGCGTAGAGGGAGAGGAGCGCTCACGAGCCTCCGCGTGGGGTCCTTTCCTTCGATCAGCCTGTGAATCTGTCCTCCTCCTTCACTGACACGGGAGCCCTGCAACCTGCAAACTCAGCAGTTCGAAACCAGCAGCCACTCCAAGGGAGAAAGATGAGGCTTTCTACTCCTGTAAAGAGTGACAGTCTCAGAAACCCACAGGGGCAGTTCTACCCCATCCTGCAGGGGGACCGGGCGTCAGCATCGACTCACATCACACATGGGATGTAGGAGTGTGTCCTGCTGTATGCTCATGTGCCCTCAAAGCCTCTTCTTGGAGAGACGGGTGAGGGGCTCAGTGTAATCCTTCCAGGTAAGGAGGAGATCTGTCAGAAACCTAATCCTACTAGTTACAGAGACAGGGTGCCAGAAGGCTAGCCCTCCCTCACATGAACACTTCTTATGCTTCTCTCATCCCTCGCTGCTCTCCCCTTCTCTCGCTCCCTGAATGTTGCTTGTGTGGACTCCGGCTTCTCCCCTCAGAGCGGGGGTCATGGAGGGAAGAGGGGACCCTTGAGTGTTCTTGGCCCTGTCACTGAGTGCCTTCCTGTCCCTCATGAGCTCGCCATCTTCGGTGTTGCCCTCCTTGTGTATCACAGGGCCTCTCGTCTGCTGTGGGACCGGTGCTCACCTCCTCTGGCTCGTTCCTGTTCGGCCTGCTCTCTGAAATTCTTGGCATTCCACTCCCTTACTTTTTATTGTTGTTACTTGCAGTAGCTTGACCCCAGGGGATCGCCTGCCTGAAATCTGAGTTCTTGGTTCTTGCCCATTTCTGTCACCCTGCCCCTTTCCAAGGAGAGGGCACCAATAGCGCACACTGGTGGTTGGAGAAGTCACAGCTCCAGAAGCACTGAGTGGGCCACAGGGAGAGAGGTCCACCAGTAAGAGCCACGGTCGGCATCCAAGGGTCCAGTGGTAGCAGGCGTAGTGGATGGAAAGCATTTGGACATTCGCTTACTCGGTCAGCGTTTGTTGAGCACTTGCTACATTCTGTTCTGGACCCTAGGAATAAAGAAGCAAACAAAGCAAGAGATTCCCCAATTCCTTAGAGCTTACATTTAGTTGAAAGAAGTAATAGACAAATAAATATCTGTGAATGTCATGAAGAAAAAGAAAATGGCGTGAAGAAAGAGGAGCAGCTGCTTTTGATAAATGGTCGTCGGGGAGGTTTCTCTGATAAGGTGACGCTTGAGGGGGTGACAACCCAGGCCTGTCCATTACTGCCACGTCTTCTTGTGTCAACTTTTCAGTAAGTGTTGTTTTTTCACGAACATACAACACACGTGCAAAGTGTCATGGGTTTGATTATGAACATCTCAAACCAGTGAGAACAGTTGTTCACAGGATACTCACACATTCACCACCTAGGTTCTATCCTGGGCTGTTTGACCCTCCCTGCCTCCACACTGTCATCTTGATGGCTCCACCCTCGCCCCAGTTAACCTGTCAGTTCTTAAGCTAATCGAGTGTGGATGGCTTTTCCAGAAACCTAGCCTTCACGGATGGGAAGACATGCTATATTCATTTTCATGTTACTGTAGATTTCAGGTCTGTTTCGTATTGCATGTGATACCTCAAACCAATTGGAGCTAACTCGGGGATGTGATACAAGCTACAATGAGCTTATTTCCCAAATAGCTGGTTTCTCCAACACGTTTCTTGAACAGAGCTGACTTTGCTGTTTGGGTTGGTCACTTTAGGTGTATTAAGTCTTCATACATGCCTGGGGGAGCTCTGGTGGCGTAGTGGTTCCAAGTTGGGTTGCTAACCACCAGCCACTCCTTGGGAGAAAAATGAGGCTTTTTACTCTCATAAAGAGTTGCAGTCTTGAAAACCCACAGGGTCAGGGCTACCCCGTCCTATAGGACCGCTGTAAGTGCATCAGCTCCATGGCAGCAAGTTTATGTGCCTGTTATTTTTCAAGTTTTCTTTTCTGTTCTGCCCAGCCCTGCTGGGCTGTTGATTTCTTTTGCTAGTACCTCAGCTTCACTATTTTGTTGCATAAAACATTTCCATATGTAGCTGGGAAAATCCTTCTCTAATGATCTTCCTCCAGAATTGTGCTAACTGTGTTGCTGTTGGTATGTGCTTATTTTCACAGTGAGTATTAAAACTGTCCCCAGTCTAAAACATGACATTGGAATACTAACTCATATTTATAGTTCTTGCTTTTTTTAAAGAAGTTTGTTTTCAGCTGTAAAGCAGGGATACTAGCAGCTTTCTGACAGGACAGTTGTGCGGGTGAAGCGAGGGTGCCCACGAAGTGTGCGGAATGTGCTGGCCCCAAAGTTGCCAAGGAGGTAGGGCTGATTTGAGCCCTGCCCACTTCAAGTTCATTTCTGGGGTTCCCCGGTGCCTTTCTAAGCACACATGCACAACTTGGATGATTACTGATTCAGAAAGCAAGCACACTGCCCGGGTGAGGACGGGTCCGTTCTGCGGAGCCAGTGGGAGTTGGAATCAATGTGGTGGCAGTGGGTTGGGGTTTTTTGTTCTCTTATGCATGTATAAACCTAACTCAAACCAAACCCACTGCCACAGAATTGATTCTCACTCACAGCAATTCTGTGAAGGGTTTCCAAGGCTATAAATCTTTATGGGTGCAGACAGCCTCCTCTTTCTCCCGAGGAGCAGCTGGTGGGTTTGAACCACCAACCTGGCAGTTAGCAGTTCCGTGCTTACCCAACAGTGCCGCCAGAGCTCCATGAGTGGAAGGTCTAGTACAGACCCTCAGTGAAGGAAATGCATTCACACAGTGGCTGTCACAGGGACTCAGGCATGGCAACAGTTGTGAGGATGGCGCAGAACCGGCAGTGTGTCATTCTAGTGTACGGAAGTCCACTGGCAGTCGGAACCGACTCAAATGGCATCTAACGACGGCCCATCCCTAAGGCCACCTGCCTGCCTTCCTTCCCTCCTTCCTTTCCTAGTTAGAGAACGCAGATGGTAGCTTCAGGATTGATCTGGACTGAAATTATCCTGCACTTTTTGTTCCTGTGTAAGATTCAGAGATTTGGTTCCCCAGGCTCTTATTTTAACTGTATTTCCATTGTTCACATGCAGTTCTATTTCAACATGTGTTTGCTACTTGGTTTTGCTCCAGAATCCCATGGCTATGAAACTCAGTCCCCTGGAGATTTTAACAGCAAGCTTTCCCTGCCTGCAGGAGGATCTTAAAAAGTGAACCTCCTTATCCCCAAGAAATGAGTCCGCTAGCCAAAGATCTTCTCCAGCGCCTGCTGATGAAAGACCCCAAGAAGAGGTTGGGGTGTGGTCCTCGGGATGCAGATGAAATCAAGGAGCATCTCTTCTTCCAGGTAAAAGGTGGTCCTGAGCCTTCCCTTCCTGTTTCCATGGGACCCGGCATCCTGCATGGAATGAATGATCCCTGTGCTGCTTGGAGTCTCCCCCTGAATGTCACCTACAGGTGGGCTTGCAGGAAGGCCCAGAGCACTGCTTGTAAAAACCAACATCATCATTTTCTCCCTACATAGAGAAGAGATGGGAAGGCTCATGATAGGCCATTTTTCTGCCTGTTAATTAGTTAGACTTTCTGGGCATTGGTCCCGTCTCTTAGGACTTAGTCATATGCACTAACAAGACAGATTTTATTAATGCTTTTTGCTCCTCTCGCCGTTCATGAGCTATTCGTGCGTGTGTGTGCATGTGTGCGCGCGCGCGCGCGTGTGCAATTCCTCCCTCCTCTCCTCTGCCGGAAGCCCTTAAATAGCAATGTCTGCTCTCCCAGGAGAAGGTTCAGAAAGTCCCGAGTCTCGTGCGTGTCAGTTACGTGCCTGGGACAACTGCAGTGTGTTCTCCGCTCTCTCCTTTCCCTGGGGCCGGAGAGTGAGTTTTCATGCTGTCACCAGGGGTCGCTTGAAATACAGACAGGCAAGCATCGATGGAGGATAAGAACTACTGCTCTGACCGCGCTTCTTGAGGAAGGGCCGACTCACTCCAGCTTCTTAATATAGCTGTTCCAAAAGGCAGTGGCTGGACTTTCGGCGGATGGCCAGTGACACAGAAAATAAAGTATACTTCTCAGTGTGTGCACGTTACCGCTTCCTGTGGTGTGGAAAGGTTCGTATTGGAACAAACAACTTCAGATACCTAGCTCAGACGTTTGGCTCAAAAAACAACAGCCAGGTAAAATTCAAGAAACAACTTCCGTGCAATAACTCCGTGATGTTCTCCAAAGTCCGTTTTTCTCTGTGGTCAAAACCGAGGTTTGTGAATCTGATAATATGCCTTTCTTATTAGAGGTTTTACTCATCTTTTATAGCATGGAATGGTAATGTGAAATGACTGAATTGTCATGACTTCTTAAATGAAGGGCCAGAATTCTAGTTGTAAAGATCCTAGTGGTACCCCCGCCCATCGGAGCAGAGGCAGAGGGGAACGGTAGTCATACGAAATGTTCTGCATCCTAAAGGATGCTCTGCTAACAGCGGATTCCTTCCCTTGGCTGTAGACCCCTCTCGTCATGTGAGTCCGGTAGTGCACATGAGCCTCGGCCACCGCAGGAAGGAAGCCAGCTCAGCTGGAAAGAGCCAGGGAACCAAAGAGCCACTCCAGACGGACAGCTCTGCTCCCGGCTCTTCCGCCAGCCTTCTTTGGGTGGTCTCTTCTTGTTCCCGAGCTTTCGTTTGCTCCTCGATTGTTAGTAGTCGTATTTCAGTTTCAAAGAAGACCTAAAGGGTCTTGGGAATCCCGTTTTGGCTGAACAATCTAAAGAGCCTCTGGTTTAATGGCGTTATCTCCTTTGCACCCACAAGGGGGCAGAGTGAAAACATTCTGTGCCAATGAGACTTTTTAACTGAAGTTTTATCAACCCGAAAATGGAGCTGGCCTCATGTTGCCATCCGGGTAGTCTGTTTGCGTCTTGCAGTGGACAGCACCTCTCTGTTCCCATCAGCCAGGCTTTGTTCATTCTTGGGGATTACTGGGACCGAAGGGCAAGTCTCACAAGCAATGGCGTCGACTTGGAAAAATCAGGTAACTGGTAGATAACCGTGGATTTGATCCAGTAAGTATGGCCTGCAGTTTCACGTGGCTAGCAGGGAAAGAAACAAAGCAGAGGGTTGGGCTGGAATCAGAGGACACCCGGCAGTTGATCAGACAGTAAGTGCCTGCCCTCGGTGGGCAGGAACCTGGGTGTCCCAAGGGGGAACAGAGGCAGTGCTTCAGAGGCTTGAATGTAACTGTCATTCGTCAGTTTGACAGTCAGCATCACTTACAATAGCAGGCATCAGAAAATCCCTGGCTTAGGATGAATTCACTTCATTTCGACCCTACTGGAGGCCCAGGAAGGAGAGAGGGAGAGGTCAGCCGCGCTGCTGCTAGGAAACAGAGCATTCCTGTAGGGTCAGCGTTCATAGCCAGGGATCTTTAAGCCTTGTGTGGTGCTTCTTTAGTTTAACTCCTTCCTCAAGAACCTCAGGACAAAACCATTTTTCCTTTGGCCTCCCTAAGAGCCGACCAGGGTATCTCAGGAGGCCTCAGAGGACACAGTGCCACAAGGACACAGTAGCGCTACCCTGCAGCGCTTACAAGGGGCTTACAAGGTGCAGTCAGGAAGTGTGCTCTGGCTGGGATGCATCTGAGCCCTGATGCTGGTGAAGAATGCGGGCTTTCCCATGGACTTCCAGAACAAACAGGTCTACAGACGGAATGTTCCTCAGAAGCCAAGGTGGGGACTTCATCTCGCAAGGGCCAGGGGGGAGAGGCCTGTGGTAGACGCCATCCCAGACAGAAGGATCTGACAGTGCCTGCGGCTGCAACAGTGGATTCAGGCAACGCCGCCGGCGCCGGTAAGAACGGCGCAGATCACGCAGCTGCCGCACAGAGGCACTGTGAGTTGGAATCCACTCAGCAGCAGCTCACAGCAATTACTGGTTTAAAATATGCACCCTGTTTTTAGCTTCTCTCTCTTAAGCTGGTCTCTGTAGGGGATAAAAACCAGGGAAATAAATATATATACATAGATCTTTAACTAAATGTTCATGTATAACTGTATTTGTATATTCATAATATATACATAATATTAATATATGTGCATATATCTATTTCACTGGCCAGACTTCTCATATACTTTAGACATAAGGGCAAGACTTCATCGCACCTACTTTGGACACATTATCAGGAGAGCCCAGTCCCTGGAAAAGGGCCTCATGCTTGGTAAAATACAAGGGCAGAGCAAAGAGGAAGACTCTTTGGCAAGATAGATTGGCACAGTGGCTGCAACAGTGGGCTCCAACATGACCACAGCTGTGAGCACGGCCCAGGACCGGGCGGTGTTTTGTGCTGTCAAATGTGAGTCTGAGTCACTTTGAGTTGGAACCAATTGATGGCCTCTAACCACAATGCAGCGTATTTCAACGGAACGACTCACACAGTTGTAGGGGCTGGTAGGCCCCGAATCCACGTGTCGGGCCTCAGGCTGGGGGCTTCTCCTAACTCACATGGTTGTAGGGGCTGGTAGGCCCCGAATCCACGTGCCGGGCCTCAGGCTGGGGGCTTCTCCTAACTCACATGGTTGTAGGGGCTGACGTGGCAGGCTGCTGACCCACATCCCAAGAAGCAGCAGGCTGAGGATAGTGAGTCAGATAGAAGGTCCAGAGAGCTTCGCAAGAGCACCCACAGAGTGGGCGCAGGCCCCACCCCCAAGGAAACCCCCCTTTCAACCGATGGGCTGCTCACATCAGATCGCCCATGGAAGATGGCGACGTGACATCTGTCAAACCGCTGAGGAGCAAGCCTGACCAAGTAAATGGACACATAACCTTGACCCCACGCCCCTTTCCCGCCACTCACTTAAAATCCCAAGTGCCGGTTGTTATTTTTAGGAAATATATGCCCACCGTGTTCATGTCTGTTGTGCACGATGTTCTTTTTCTGCTACAGAAAATGAGCTGGGATGATTTAGCTGCCAAAAGAGTGCCCGCGCCATTCAAGCCCGTCATTCGCGATGAATTAGACGTGAGCAACTTTGCAGACGAGTTCACAGAAATGGACCCCACATACTCGCCCGCCGCCCTGCCCCAGAGCTCGGAGAAGCTGTTTCAGGTAAGGTCCACAGGTGCAGGCCACCTGTGCTTTGAAAGGAAGGGTCACTCTCCTTGTATGACAGATCTTTTTCTGGAAGCATGCGAAATGGGCGTGCTACATTTTTCACAACTCTCAGTCATTGCGTCCGATTGCGGCTCATAGTGACCCTACAGGACAAGGTAGAACTGCCCTGTCCATTTCCAAGCCTGAGACTCTTGACGGGAGCTGAAAGACCCATCTGACTCCTGTTTTCACAATCACTAACTGCACACCAACAGAACACAACTCATGCCCTGGATTCCATGGTAACCCGCAGTCAAAGGGAACTCCCCCTGCAGGTTTCGGGGGCAGCCCATCTTTACAGGAGCCGAAGGCCTCCCCTTTGTCCCTGGGAATGGTTGGTATGTTCAAACACTGGCCTAGTAGCTGCGAAACCCACTACGCCCCCAGGGCGCCTCATTAGTGCAGAAAAGACCCTGCATTTGAACTGAAGCGTGTGACTTGTCCCGCAGAGCCACTGGGGATGGTTTGTCAATACACAAAGTGTTGATTGTACACCAGCACTTTCCTCATTCTAGACTTTTGCAATAGAAAATTCAGTGCTGATTTCTAGTACCTCTGTTCATTAAAAAAGATCAACTTTAGTTAATAAAGTATGTCGTCTGATTCTTTATCTCTAGTGAATAATTTTCACTGCATTCAAACTACTGATCATTCAGAATGGATTTTATTTTTTTTTATTTTATTTTTTTTTTTTTTTAAGAATGGATTTTATTTTTAAGAAAGGATTTCTTTCCAGGACCTTCCATTTTCTCTCCCTGTAAGAGAACACATTCAAACTGCTAGGTGGCACCAGGCCTGTGCTTCGTCGACTCCGTAAGGGGTCTTGTGGCAGCCGAGTCTGGCACAGGGCCAGGCACTTGGAGGGTGCAGGAGGAGCGTTTGTTGGCGCGTCTGGTGAATGCGCTCGCTGGAACAGTGCCATCCTTTGACCCTGCTTGGTGCAGCGCACCTTTCTGTTACCAGATGTTCTCTCTAAAACTCAGTTTTAAGTTTAGTTCTGAAGAGGTCAAATAAGAGTCAAGTAATCACTGCACTAGAATTGAGCTAGTTTGAAACTTGCAGTTTTTCCTGGTTGAAAACTTTAAGAGCACACTTGGCCATGTTCCTTATCGTGGTCCCTGGTCTGGGAGGAGAGCCGTACCCACAGCAGACTTGCAGCTGAAGGGTGACAGCTCTGGGGCAGGGTTTGGAAGAGGTGGAGCAGGTATGTCCCTGCTGCTCATGGGGAGCCCGCCCGCCGGACTCCGCTGGAAGATAGTGTTAGCACCTGCTGAACAGTATTTTCTGCCGAGCAGAGATGACCTGGCATTTCGAATCGCAAATAAGATAAAATTAGATTCATCTCAAGAAATGCTTGAGTGTTTTCCGTATCCCCCACACACCCCCACTGTGACTTAGGAGAACATTGAACAAGCTGTCCCCGGGAGTCTGTGCTAAGCTGGACGGTCTCCGGCCCGCGCCCCGCTTTTGTTTCCTAGGGCTACTCCTTTGTGGCTCCCTCGATTCTCTTCAAGCGCAACGCGGCCGTCATAGACCCCTTCCAGTTTCACGCAGGCGCCGAGCGCCCCGGAGTGACGAGCGTCGCCAGGAGTGCCATGTTGAAGGTAGGCAGACAGGGCTCGGACGAGCACCCTCAAGTTTATGAAGTAAACTTGTCAGGCTGACCCTCCCAAGGCACTCCTTTTCCTGGGGACACCGATCGCACGTGAGTGGCGGCCCTCACAGCAGGTGGCTTTAGAGATGTTCTCGGTCGACTGGGAAGACTTCCAGAGTGGTGCACGTGACTGTACCGCGCTCCTGTCTGAGGCCACGCGTGTCTGTTTCTGGCCGTTAAGTGATGTCGGTTTCTTCACAGGACTCTCCATTCTATCAACACTACGACCTGGACCTGAAGGAGAAGCCGTTAGGAGAAGGAAGTTTCTCAATATGTCGAAAGTGTGTACACAAGAAGAGTAGCCAAGCCTTTGCAGTCAAAATAATCAGCAAAAGGTACGCTTGGCCGCCCTGGGCAGCGTCCCTTAGGTTGCCTGCTGGCCAGGAGGCTAGGTGACTGGAGCACCCTTTCAAAGAAGTAACACCGTGCTGAGACCGTTTACCTGGGGATTCGGGGACTTGGCTCATTAGAGGAGTCCTTCTACTCAGGCCGGTCATAGATGCTTTCTGACAGGTCTCAATCACAAGTGTTTGAGAGTCCTTTAGGAGAAATATCATTGCGGCAGTGACCGGTCCTCAGACTCGCTTAGTGCTCTCAGCAGCGACTGCCATGCCTGATAAGTGGTGTGTTTGAAAGACTTGTCTCTGGGGAGACGGAGAAAGCGAAGCGGCTGGGGAAGTTGAGGCCCAGCGAGGTTTGTTTGTTTGTTTGTTTGTTTGTTTGTTTGTTTGTTTGTTTGTTTAACTGGTCCTTACTAACAGGATTGTAGATGCCTATTCCAAGTTGTCAGGCAAGTTGAACATACATTTCTTCGTGTGACTAGCTCTCTTTGGACTCGGATATAATTTTGGTATAATGCGGTTGGTAGAATGATTCATTCATTTCATGGAAACGGCATCCTGATATTTTGGCACATAGATTCTGATGGCCCTGTAAAGAGAGACACAATCTGACACAGGCTGACTTACCAGAGAGACAGAGAGACTAAGAGGCTTCCAAAAATTCATGGGAAAACAGAGTTACGAGAGGACAGGGGTTCGGGAAGCCCCTCATAGAGCTTCTAACTCTTCAACTTGCAGGATGGAAGCCAATACTCATAAGGAAATCACAGCTCTGAGACTCTGTGAAGGACACCCCAACGTCGTGAAGTTGCACGAGGTGTTTCATGACCAGGTATGACTCAGTGCGTGTACCCCAACTCATACAAGGTTCTACACAGGACACGGGCACTGTGCTTAGTGCCAAGTCCACTGCCGCCCCCACCTTTGCGCCCTCGCCGTCTGCCCTCCCCCTCCCCAGTATGGACCACCCACTTCCCTTTTGCTTCCAGAGTGGAACTTAGCTGCCCAGACCGCATGACTACTAGCTAACACAGGCAGTACGGGGCAGAGAGGCTAGGGCACACCTCTTTCACCATCTTGCTCCAAGTGGCAAGTTCTGCAGAAGCTGTAGGCTCAGAGCTGCTGCCCCACCGCCCCACCAGGACCCTAACACAGAAAGAAGTATGTGACTTAGGATGTGGGGAGGCGGGACGCCTTTAGTTAGGTCTTTGCCCCCTGCCCAGTGCCTCCCACTGCCACTCCTGTACCGGTACAGTTTTCTTTCCCTCCCAAGACTGGCTGGGCTGACAGGGTCTTGCTCTCATCACACGCTGGGTACCAGGGCTAAGCCGACCCTGGGTGTGATCGATTGTCTATTGGTTTACCAGCAATGAAATTGAGGTCCACAAGGGCCATGAGACTTGCCAGGCATCACACGGCAAGTCGGTAAGAATGGAATCTCGAGAGCCTGGTCTCCCGTGGGAGGCCCCCTCATGGTGCTGGTTCTCTACTGCATGGAAATTCCCCAGCAGACTCTGCCCAAGAATGGTCCATCGTGACGAAAGCCTGCCGTCGTGAGAGCTGCTGCCCTGCTTGCCATAGGTGATCGAGGTACCATCCCAGACACTGCATATATCTCCCCGTTATCTGACCTGTTCCCCATAGGAACCCAGGGGACCCTGATGGCACACCAGTTAGCACGCTCATGTGACTGAGACGTTGGTAGTTCAAACCCTCAGCTCTCCAGAGCAAAGGCCTGCTCCCCTCACGGGCACAACCGCAGACACCCAGAGGGTCCTGCTGAGTCAGAATCTTCTCGCGGCACAGGCACCCTGCGGAGTGAGAAAAAGGAACTCCGTCTCACAGTGTGTACCTTGTGTTGCTGGGCTCTGAGCCCGAGCCAGACAGACTCGGGCCCAACCTGTTAATGCCCGTGCTCCACTGCCTTCCAGAGCCAAGCCTACTACCTTCCAGTCCACTCCCACGCTACCGTAACAGGCAGAGGAGGACTGCACCCTTAGGTGTGTGAGGCTATTGCTCTCTGGGAGCAGAAAGTCTCATCTTTCTCCCGCAGAGCAGCTGGTGGGTTCCCACTGCTGACCTTGCTGTTTAGAGCTCAGTGCATCACCAACCAGGTCACCAGGGCGCCCTGGCTCTCCCGCCTCAGAGGTAGACACGGCTGGTGTCCATAGCAGGAAAATGAGCACACAAAATGGACACCAACCGCTGTCCCTCTGGCTCTCACCATCAGAAAAGGAATGCCGAGAGAACCCAGGGCTCGTCCTGGGAGACGGCCTGTCGGCTGCTCTGCCATCTCCACCCATCGACTGCTCAGCTCCAGCAGAGACAGAGTCCCTGTCCGCTGCCGGTTTTAGGAACAGACATGTTGAAGATGATCCAGAAGAAATGTACTCCTCAATCAAAGGATAGATGGGTGACCTTAGATAGCCTCCTCTGTCCTGGGCTATAGATCAAGCACAGCGTTTAGTCTCGAACCCCCAGACTCACGTCAGGTCTCAGGAACCACTCACTTATGCACTGCCGTGGGGTCCGTTCTGACTGCGGCCCCTGTGGGTTTCCCCAGACTGCAGCTACTTGGGCAGACAGCCTCATCTTTCTCCTAGGGAATAGCTGGTGGTTTTGAACTCATAACCCGAGAAGCCACGGGGGCTCCTAAATCAGGAACCACAGCACTCTTTAATTTTATACTTGTGTCACAAGTTAAGTTTATTATCACTTGCTTTTATCTATGAGTTGCTGGAATATAAATTTATCCCATGATGCAATCCTGTACATACTAGTGTAAATATATTACCAGTGTAATATAAAGTAGCCGGCATATGCCTCAGGCTATTAGTGTTTTGTAATGGTGACATGCTCGCTAGGTCTTCCATATATCCATGTAGCCTTTTCAACCAGTATAAAATTGCAGACAGGGCATCAGCTTTCGACTGCAGCAGTGGAGTTCATTTTGCTAACTGTGATGTGTGCTGTACACGGTCTGTGAGCTCCCCATTGCTGATGCAGGAGCAAGGTCCGGAGTTGGAACCCTCCAGCTGCTCAACTGGAGAAAGATGGCGCTTTCTAACCCATCAAGAGTTAAGGTCTCGGAAACTCACCGGAGCGGCTCTACCCTGCCCTCTAGGTCCCTGTGAGTCAGCATGGACTCCGAGGCCGTGGGCTTGGTCAGTTTGGTATTTAGTGTAGGAACTGAAAACAACACAAAAGCCCTCTCACAACTGGATCACCAGTCTGACTGGCCTGAAGCCAGGGTTGACGTCCCCAGGGCGCCTTTGTCTAGGTGCCCTAGGGAGAATCCATTTGTTTGCCTTTTTTAGCCTCTGAAGGCTACCCCGTTCCTGGCCTCGGACCCTCCCCGGCATCACTCCCACTGCTTGCTTCCACGCTTCCATCATCACATCTCCTCCTATTGGCCCAGATGCTCCTGCCTCCTCCTTGTAAAGATAATCTGATTACATAGGACGCACCTTGGCTGCCCAGGGGAGTCTCCCCATCGGAAGATCCCTAATCTCATCCCATCTCCACAGGCCTGTTGGCAATGTAAGGTCGGGATGACAGGTCTGGGGACATCTGTGAGGTGCCATTCTAAAGCCGACCTATATGCATTTTCTCCTGCCCTACGCTTTAGTGAAAGGGTTCAGAGAGGTCACGTGACATCCCCAAGGTCCGACGCAGCAGGATTCGCATTGCAATCCAGTTTGGACTCTTGGAAACCACGTGCCCTTTGAGTCACTATTGGCTCCTGGCAGCATCCTGTGTCAGAACTCGGCTCCATGGGCTTCTCGGTGGCTGCTTTTGGGAAAGTAGACCACCTCTAGCCGTGCTGGTCACAGCCCTTCCTGTAGACCACCGCTCAGGGCTGGGCTGTAGACCCCAGACCCTGCCTGACCTCCTCCTCTCGTGGAAGCCAGCCCTCAAGCATGACCTTTTTAAAATTTGTTTGACCTAAAACTAAAATTAGCTGCAGTATGTGACCTTACCAAAAGAATCCTTCCCCCATTACCGCTTATCCAAGATGAGCAGCTTTGCCCTGTTCGCAGTTCCAGAGGAGACGTTTCACGAGCTGAATAACAGGGTGCTCAAGTACCTAGCACTTAGACCTGCCTGCTGCTCTGGTCTTTCTCTCAACCATTCCCATGTGAGAATTCATCTAAATCCTTAGCTTTCTGGTAATTCTCATGTTATTTCCCTTATAGAAGTATGTGCAAAGAGTAATCAACGTATCACTTGTAAAATAATCAATTAAGAAAATTCCGTTGGGGTCAGAGGCATTTAGAAGACCAATAACCACCAGTGAATTGTGGGTATTCGTCGGGACTTTTAACCAGAAGCCTGAGGCAGATCTGTGCAGCCCAAACCCAGGCCTTCTGATCAATTTTAACTTATAGCAACCCGGTAAGAGGGTTTCTGCCGCTGTAGATCTTTTTCAAAGGACCCCAAATGACGTCATCAAACAGTACCCTTTTTAAAAGGGAAACCGTGCCGTTCAGAGCCCCACCACCCCTTCCCCCACTGGGGCAGTCGCCCCTCCTCAGCCTGCAGGCTTCTCCATTAATTCAGGCACAGTGGCATGGGCTTGTCAGCTCTCGGCCTCACTTTAACTGAGAAAGCTGGGCTAACCCAAAGCGAAAGAGTCCTTCGGAGAAAAGAAAAAAGATCCCACTGCAAGGGCCTGCCGTTTCCTCGTCACTGACTAGAATTCTGAAGAAGCCGCTTTGTCCTCCAGCTCCTTCCTCCAAAACGAAGGGTTGCTGCTACTCCTTAACCAGCACACTGTCTTCCAGCAGAGAACCACGGTCCACGTCCCCGGACCGGCTGTCGGAGGCCCACCCACTCCCCCTGTTTCTTTTCCAGCTTCACACCTTCCTGGTGATGGAGCTGCTGAATGGCGGGGAGCTGTTTGAGCGCATTCAGAAGAAGCAGCACTTCAGCGAGACGGAAGCCAGCTACATCATGCGCAAGCTGGTCTCCGCCGTCAGCCACATGCACGACGTGGGCGTGGTGCACAGAGACTTGAAACCAGAGGTACGAGTTAAGCATCCCCCTCGTTAAACAGCCCCAGCCGCCCCGGCCTTGCTGCCACTGCTTTTCAGGCTTCCTGCTCTAGGTCCTTGCAAATGATCATGTTTCTTGGGTCTTTTTTTCTTTGTCTATTTTGGTCTAAAATAAATGTGTCTCTATTCTTTTCTTTGGGCCAGCTGATCAGCCTGAGGTTATATTTATAAGTGTGAGAGCCTTTTATGGAAGAAATACTTTATCCAACAGTTGTGGAACTAAAAATAGCCATGGAGATTTTTGTCACATAAAATAATAATCCTTCTAGAACTACCCTTTGAGAGGGTTTTTTGGTTTGGTTTGGTTTTAATGCTATCGTTTGAAAGCTTATTTCCCACGTTTCTGTTTAAATTCATTCCCCCTCCTGAATGGGGATGCATACACGGCTATTCTGAGTGCGGGCTGAAGGAATTGTGGGGAGCGGACTAGTGCCCTCCTTCCACACCTTTCTCGGCCTCAGGTATTGGAACGTCCAGGGCACTGAGTCTCAGTGCAGACCTGGAAGCTGTTTCAAAAACACTTTCGCATTTGAAAGGTGAGTAAGTAAAGAAAGCCTTCACTGTCAGTTGGTCTCTTTCTGGCTTCAGAACGGTGACAGTCCCTCCGTTGTAGAAAACTAGTGATTACGGATGAAGAGAGAACCAGGAAGCCGCAGCCCTAAAGTGCCCAGGCATCCTTGACCACCTGATGGGGCGGTGTTCTTCCCCAGAGTGGGCCGCCTTATAAGCCCAGGGGGCAAGGGCACCGCTCCGGCACACTCCCACGGCTCATCGGCAGGACGTCTGAGTCTTCCGGTGTGAGGCCGAAGAGGGGTTCTCTGGATGCAGGGTTTTAGTTCTCTTTTGCCTTTTATTTGGCTATCTTGGATTATTATTACTGGAAGATGTTTGGAAGTGCATCTCTGCATTCACTTACCATCGACTGATCCCTTTAAAGTTCTGCCCACCCACTTTCCATTGTTACCCATACAACTACCAGTTAACAGAAAGTGGATTGTTTGGGGGAAAGCCTGGCGCACTGTCAGCGGGAGCTCAGCCGTCTGTGGTTGACCAGGAACGCGAGCCCCTCCTGCCCCTTCAATGTGTTCTTGAAAGACAAGGAACAAGCATGTCATCTCTTTTCATTGAAAAGTATCTGTGCCCCACCCATACAGAATCCGTTTTCCCGTTCTATTCCATGATGACTGGCCCTCCGCAGACCCGCAGTTCATCTGCGACTGTGCTAACCGAGGGCCCTGCAGAGCACCCTTCTTCTCGCTGTCACACAGCTCTGTGTTTTTACATCGTCCTCCAGGACATCGTTCCACAAGCTGCCGTCCTAAACCCATCATCTTTGGGAGAGAGGAAAATGCGCCTGGAGGGTAACGTTGTTGCTCTGCCTTCTAAATGGCAGCGTGCATGATTATGCCACCCTCACACTGAGGTGGCGTCTTCCGAGTCAGGAAGTTCCAGGCAGAGTCCTGCTTAGAGTCAGACTGAGCACCCGGGCGACAGGCTTCTGCCAGCCGCTGGCCGGTCCCCGTACTCCTCAAGGATTGGAGGTGCGCCCAGGTGTGTTCCCCAGGGCTGGGGAAGTGAGGCGTGTGAACAGGAAGCCCGGTTTGATGCGTGCAGGAGAGGGACCGAAGTCACCAAACTAAAAGCCATGGTACCTCCCTCATTTCTTCCACGTTTCCACTGCAGACGGAGCCCTCTCGTGTCGTTCCCAAGGCGCGGCGGGCTCGGGCAGCAGGGGCTGCACTCGCACGCTGCGCCCCAGTCTCTGTATGTAACACGGAGGAGCTCGCTGTTTGCTGAAACTTTTCCGTGCCACACTTCCCTTGTGACGAAGTCTGACATCCAAAGTTGGCCTCCTTTCCTTCCCTGCAAGCTCAGGACCCAGCACTGTGATAGAAACGGATAGACCCAGCAGTGTGGTAGAAATGGATAGACCCATCACTGTGATAGAAATGTCTCAGTGCGTGTTTTCTTCCTCTCTCTCTGCACGCACACTTCATTCACCTTGAACTTCAAACAAAAGGTTGAAGATGTTTCTTCTCTGTGTCAGTGAAGCCTTCCGTGAGGCCTTTTATTTCCGGTCACAAACCAAATACAGTTGTCGTGCTGAGGGATAATCTAACGAACGTAAATACGTGGCCAGTTTTGTTAAGATCTCTAAGAACAGTACAATCAGGCTCAGTTTTCAAGCTTCCTGTGCCAATAGAAAGCATTCATTCATTGTTACAGTTAGCAGTTAAACAAACTTAAAAACCCCTCTAAACTCAGTGTCACCGAGTCCATGCCGACTCACAGCAACCCTGTAACCAGGAGAACTGCCTTGAAGAACGCATTTCTGAAACGTAGTGTCCATCTCCTCCACGCCTCCTACCAGGCAGTACTAGGCACGATAGAGCTTTCATTCCAGCCTTCATTCAGTAAACAGATATTTACCAAGTACCTACTATGTAACTCTTTCTGAGCCAGGCCTTAGGAATACAGCCATCTATCTATACGTATAGATCAACGCAGCCCCTGGATTTGGTGGTATGGTGGTTTTGCGCTGGGCTGTGATCCACATGGTTGGCAGTTTGAAACTACCAACAGCTCCTCAGGAGAAAGATGAGGCTTTCTACTTCCATAATAGTTACAGTCTCGGAAATCCACAGCGAGGGTCTCTGTGAGTCAGTGTTGATTCGATGGCAGTGAGTTTGTTTGGAGGGGGGGGGGGCATTAAACTAATCATACAAAAAATGGCCAGAATGGAAAAGAAAGTAGTGCTAGTAGAAAGCATAAGAAGTCGAATGTTAGCCAGGTGGGAGGCGTAGGTCAGCTCCGTGACTACGGATCAGGTGCGCATGAGGCGGGTTGAGGACACAGAAGCTGAGTTCAAGTAGAGGTGACAACAGCCCCCAGGGGTGGCGCAGGGCTGTTGGTTCCCAAGACACTGTAGCGGTGGACTCGTACAACGGCAGTGCAACGAGCACTGTCTTTCTCCTTCACCCAGAATACCAGGAGGCAGGTGCCCGATGCCACAGGCTCTAGCCATCTGATGGAAGGGTTTGTATCTTGCAGAATTTATTGTTCACAGATGAAAATGACAATTTGGAAATCAAGGTCATTGACTTTGGGTTTGCGCGCTTAAAGCCCCCCGATAACCAGCCCCTCAAGACGCCGTGCTTCACCCTGCACTATGCCGCCCCCGAGCTCCTGAACCACTCCGGCTACGACGAGTCCTGCGACCT